TGTTTTTGACACTGACCCTGAAGGTGGCCCTGGTGCAGGGCTCTGGCAGGCTGTGGAACATCCCCTGTCCATCTGGGTCTAGTCCACCAAGATGGGGCACGCTGTCCCCTGGCTCCCTGTGGTCTGTGTGCGCTCAGCATGGAGACCCACGCCACTGCCATGTCTCCCTTTATCTCTTCTTGGATTTTCCCCATTTCCCATTCCTGTGATCAGAGTCTGAGGAAGAACGACTTTTTATCTAGAAGTAGGGGCAAAGCCCTTTAGTTGGGGTACTGCTAAAGAGGGATTCATCCTTATTTTTTTAAAAATATTTATTTTTTAGTTTTAGGTGGACACAATATTTTTATTTTCTTTTATGTGGTGCTGAGGATCGAACCCAGTGCCTCACGCATGCCAGGTGAGCACACTATCACTTGAGCCACATCCCGAGCCCCCATCCTTATTTTTACAGTCTGGTGGCTGGAAACTGCTCTTGGGCATCTTTCTCTAGATCCCAGAGATGCGTCTGGGACAGTGGTGCCTCCCCCACACCCTGCTGTGTGGCCACAGGCTCCTCTGCTGCCCACGTGGCCTTTCCTTGGCAGGGGCTGCTGCGAGCTGCTAGGCAGCAGCCTCCTGGGGTTGCCCCTTCCCACTCCTCCTTCAGGATCTTGCTCTCCCCTGGGGTAACTGGCCCTTTAGTCACCTGAGGGTACTGGGCAGTTGTTCTGCAAACTGAATGTTCTCCTCCATCAGGTCCCTGGCCCGCCTGCTTCGGTCTCTTTCCCTCAGCTGCAGGCGTCTCAGGAAGGCAGCTTGGATTTGTGGGTTAAGAGTCCAGTGAGGCCTCCTACCCAATGAGGCCCTCGGGAAGATGCCCAGGGGACCATACCCACGTCTCCAGAAAGGGCTCCTTGCTTCCACGCGTTTCCTGCTGTGTCGAGGGGCTCTGTACCCCCAGCCTGGTACGCCAGAGGCTGCCCCCCGTCCTCTTAGCTGTTGGTCTTTATGTCTTGCTGTGGCTGTGCAACGCAGGCAGGTGATCAGTGAGCGTAGGAGGTAGAGGTGGGAAAGCACTCTCCTTCCTTTGCCTTATTTCTGTTTTAACTTTTTTTTGTGTGTGTGTTAATTTGCATACCAAGAAGGGTCCAGCTAGAGAGGACAAATGGTCACTCAGTAGCTCCCTAGTTCAGGAGACAGAAACCAAGCCCCTCTCCCCTGGTGTCCCCCTCCTGTGGTTAACCTGGGAATGCGGGCGTTGCGGGGGCTCACCTTGTGCGCCAGTCCTGGTCCCTGTGTGCTGCTAGTGGAGCCACCTGCTGGAGGAGCAGAGCCCTGCACCGGCTTGCTTCCTGTGGGATGGTGGTGAGCGGGGCTGATGGGCATGGCTGGAGAGACCTCTGGCTGTGCTTCTAATGTGGCTGTTCTGAGCAACAGAGTTCTTCACTGTTCTCTGTTCAACATGCGTCATCAGGACCTCCTCTGTTGAGGACAGGCCAGGGTACAGGGGCTCAGGTACCTTGGGAGTTCTCGCCGCCTGGAATTTGAGTATGGTGTCATGGTGTAGCCTTTGCCATTCTGTTCATCCACAGTGCTGTCGGAGAACACCGACGGGGAGCGCTCCTTTCTGGAGCAGAAGACAGAGGCTGCATTAAGCCTGGGTCTTTGTGTGACTCGGTGGGACATGTGCCCGCCTGCTTGGAGTCGTCTGGACTCCTGAGGTCTGCGTTGAGTCAAGTGTGGGTGCCTGAGCTTTGCAGACTAACCCGACATAACTGGAGTGGACTGTCGAGATTTCGTTGATAGCGGTTTGTGGCGTGTGGAGACTGATTGGAGAGTAATGGAGTGTCAGGGAAAATTAGTGTTCAGATGGGAGGCAGGACCTGCTGCCGGGGGGCCCGGGGTCTCCCTTGTCTCCAGCAGTTAACAGGGGCTGCTCCGGCCAGCGGTCTACTACAGTGTCATGAACCACTAGTTCACTGATTTAGTCCCTCTTGCCCCTTCTTGGTGCTGGTGGCCTCCAGCTGCTCAGTGTGACTGTGGAAAAGTGCGTCTCTGGGTCCCTGTGCTCCTCTTCATGTCCAGCTCACTTACCTGAACGGAGTCTGTGCTGGACCAGACACTGACTCTGGCCCTGGGGTTGGAGCCCGGCCTCCACTGCACTCTTTGGGGAGAAGCAGCTGCTAATTGGTGTCATTGGTTTAGCCGGCGTGTCTCTCGGCTCTGCTAATGACCACTGAACTGACGTCCTACAGGTACTGTATGAAGACACGCTGATGCACAGGTGCAGGGAGAGCCCCTGGCAGGCCACGCAGCTTCAGTGGGCTCACGGCAGCCTGCCACACGGTTCCTCCCTCTCTTTCTTTAATGTAGATGGGGTCACACCCTCTGAGTGGTCAGCCTCTCGCTCTTTTCACTTTAAACCTGTCCTGCTGTCCTCACATGTTGGACTGCCCAGCTGACCTCCTCTGTCCTGCATGGCCATGTGCCAGCTTTTATTTAGGCACCTGTTTTCAGGGGCTCTTGGTGCACTTGCAAGGTGTTGCTTTTCTTGCTCTGTCTTGGGTGTTTCTGCACGTGTCCCTGGGCACACGTGTCCCTGGGCACAGGCAGGCACCTGCTCGTGTGTCCTTGTGCACACACATGTTGCTTTGGGTCCCGTTTGCTTTCCCAGCATACACTGGTGTGCTGGGGGAGTTGGGCTTCTCCGCCAGGCCTGCCGTCAAGCAGGAGGTCTGGGGGGCACTGCCTGAGCACTCGGTGTTCTCTGGGCAGGAAGCAGTAGCTTAACCAATGGCCACTTTGTCAGTGTTAAGATGAAAAGATTTGAAAACGAGTTATTCTGTGGTCTTGGTGTATTCCTCTCAGCCCATTTTTCCTGGGGGGTGTGGATTTGACCCTCTAGCCTGGGGCTTGCAGCAGGTGTCTTTTCCAAAGACTGCCGGATGCTCTTTTAGGCTGTTTTGCTCTCTTGGAAGGTACAATTGCGTAATAAGTCACAATATAAAGAACCACCTGAGCATCCATAGCGTATCGTGCCTGAATCTGAGACTGGGGGAGGGCACAGGACGCTCGGCGTGCTTCGGTGGAACAGCCTCTCAACACTCAGGTTTTCCTTGCCTGCAGGATGCTCGGAGCACGGCTCCTAAGTGCCGGCCTTCTCTTAGCTGAAGATAATGGAACCATTTCCTGCAATTTTTCCTCGTTACCGAAATCAGCCTGCAGAGTTCTCTGAGACCCCATTTTGGGTGGAACAAAGCAGACGTGCTCTGGCAGATGTCCTGTTTCGCTGCAGGCTCTCTTAGCAGGCGGAGGGGGGGGTCTATTGCAGCAGATGCCCAGGACCCTGTGGAGAGGTGCAGCTGGGGGCTGGTGGGGTCGGCGGCACCCCTCCGCTGCTCCTGGTGAGGGAGCCTTCCTGGGAGCCAGGCTCGGGCTGGTCTGCCTGCTCCCTCAGAAGCAGGGGAATGCACTCGGGAGCTGCAGGCTCCCCTGACAAGACTGTTTGAGGGCTCCTGGGAACCCCATTTAACTGGCTTGTCAGAGGACAGGGCCCCTGAGCGGGCACTGCCTCAGCGGGCTGGGTGGTCAGGTCACTTGGGCTGCAGCGCTCCCTCTGGCCATCCCCTCCAGCAGGGCCTCAGCCTGCAGTGAGCCGGCCACCTCCCAGGGGACTGTGGAAGCCCAGGTGGGGCCAGCAGCTCGAGGGCCAGTGGGCCTGGTGGTGCTCCTTTGGGTGCTGTTCTTGTGTTTGGTCCTTCTGGACACAGTCTCTGTGTTCTGCTGTGGTCCAGACTGGGACAGGAAGTTGCTGGCCATCTCTGTGTGGATGGCATCTGCACTGTGAACATGTGCCCGCCCCGAGCTGCGTGCCCTCGAGGACAGGATCCAGGAACGTCTGAAAGAGCCATTTGCCTGACCTTTCATGGCACATGTAGGCCCCGTGGGAACCTGGGGAGCAAAGGCTGCAGGGGAGGGAGGGGAGCCAGGGGCGTGCCTGGTGGTCACATGTGGCTGGGCAAGACCCTGGGGAGAGGACCTGATTTCTCAGGAGTTTTGGGTGATTCTGGAAGCTCAGGGGGTGGGCAGAGTCTGTCCCCATGAAGATGAATGCAGTGAGCTGGCAGGGCACAGCCTGAAGACAACTGTCCCTTGAGGGCTAGCAGCAGGGCCTCACTGTAGGCCAATGCCCAAGGCTCACATCCTGTGCTGGCTGCAACCTGGCCTTCGGGGCCAGGGCACAGAGGTGCCTTGTTAGGCTGGGCTCCACTGTCAACGGAAGGTGGTGACCACAGTGGGGGAAGGCAGAGGCGTGCGTGAAGTGAGCATACGAGGGTTAGTGGCCGTGGGTGGGTTTGCCTGGAAGCACCCCTGCTGTGGCAGGCGGCAGGCTCGGGGGGCTCTGCGGGAGGCCGCTCGCTGTGCAGGTGGCCCCAGGCACTCGGGCAGCAGCCTTGGCCTCTCCAATGTCAAAGATGTTGTCCGCCGCCTGCTCCAGGAGTATGGTGTGAATAGCCGGCCTCCACCCTCCTTGGCAGGCCTTGGGAAGCCCAGCTTGCTGCTCCCTGGAGTAAACAGGACTCAGGGACCAGAAAGTATCCAGTGGGTACTAACGGGGCCACCATCTGGGTTGTCGTCTCTGTGGGTTGGACCAGGAAGCCGGGAGCCCTACTCTCCCAAGACAGCAACGTGTGCGAACCTTGAACACTGATGGGGAGCAGAGCAGATGTGTTAAGAGATCTCAAGTGTCCAAGAACTGTCCTGTGTCACTGGGCCACACTTAGACTGCACAGCTCAGGAGGAAGGAGGTAGGCAGAGCGTGTGAGGCGGAGCACGGCAGGCTCGCTCCAGTCTGATCTCCAGCGGAGCCTCGTGGAGCATCCGCCACCTTCTGTGCAAACTGCTGAGCTTTGGGACGGCACTGGAGCTGCTGCTGGCTCTAGTGTCGACAGAGTGGAGAGAGGTGTCAAGATCGGCTGCACTGAACCCCCGAGGCTGACGGCTCCTGTGCTTCTTCCCAGGTGTGCCTGTGCCAGTACCCCAGGGTCTTGCGGCCACCCAGGACTCGCCTGTGGGACCAGGGGTAAGTCCAGGCCTGACGGGATCCACTTCAGAATTCCAGAATAAGCCCCAGTGGACCCCTGAAAGCACTCTTTGCCTCCTTCTCATCCCTGAGGTGGGGCCCGCTGGCTGGGGGCGTCTGGTGCCTTCCCAACTTGTCACGTAGCCTGATCCTGACACGCTGACTCAGCGTGGGGCTCTCGGGGTGGTGGCTTCCTGCTGCCATCAGAGGTCTCTGTAGTGTCTCCAGGACATGCTATGCTCTCCTGGCAGTCATGTCTGCTGTTGGAGATGCCCTTAGTACTGAGGGCCTTTTGTTTTTTTCAGAGACACTGAGGTATAGTCTTCACCCTTCCCTGACCTATTCGGCCAGGAGAGAGGGCCAAGGCCACATGCGGGTGCACTCAGGGCCACAGGTGTGTCAGCTCGCACCTATGTGGGCCGGACTCACCTGTGTGCAGAGGAGGGCTCTTCCTGGCTTGGCCTTGATGCTCGGTGGCTGATATGGCTGTGGTGTACTGAGCTGCAGGGTGCTCCCCGTGGCCCTGGGTGGCTCTAGCGGCATGATTTTGACTGAGGTCAGAGTTGGCTTGTTCTTCCTGGTGACTTTGTCTGCTAATGCTGCATGGAAGTTGACTTCTAGAAAAGTCAAGTGATTCGGTGACCCAGGCTGTCTGCAGGAAGTGGCTCTAGTGTGGGGCACACAGCTTGGGAGCTGGGCCCCGGGGGAGCATCTGTGTGCTGGAGATGCCCGGCTGTGGACTGCCTCCTGGTACCCCGCTGGCTTAATCTGGCATGTTCCCTGCAGCGGTTTCCACGTCGCCCTGAGTGTTCAGGGCCACAGGCAGGGAGGGCTTACAGTGCCCCCTGGTCTCGGGGGCTTAGCAGAACGAGTGGTCTTGCTGGCTCCCTGCAGATGCTGCCAGGATGCCCTGCCATCCTGCTCACCTCCCTTCTCCAGCTCTTCTCTCACTGACTTCTCTGTGTTGGCACCTCCTTTGGGCCTCTGTGCCAGCTGTCCCCACTGAAAGTGAGCATCCCACAGCAGCGTGTGCTGGAAATAGCATCTCCAGTAGAGTGCAGCCCACCCCCCCGCCTTTTTTCCAGGCATTCATTTTCCAAATATAAACATAAACCTTTCTAGAGGCCTGCCATGTGCCAGGCCCCACGCCAGGCCCTTGCCATGGATTCTCATTCATTCTCACAGGAGTCCTGCAGGTCAGGTGCCATGATCATCTTTTTTTTTTTTTACAAGTAAGGGGACTGAGGCAAAGAGGCTGGCTGACCTTCACAAGGTCACATGATAAAGAGGTGGTGGGATAATCTGTCTCCAGAGCCCGTGGCGGCTGCCTGTACAGTCACTGTCTTGGTGGGAGGCTCACAGGACAGGGACATAGGTGACTGGATCAGACGGGAGCTTGGAAGTATCCAGTCCAGGGGTGGAAGTGAAGCCCAAGGGTCTAGCCCAGTCCACCCTGGAGTGGAGACTCTTGCCCTCGTCTGCTTGCTTCTCCTCACTGATGTGTTTTCATTCAGATCGTGGTCTGTGTGCTGAGGGGAGTTCAGGAGAGGCTCTAGGTTGCACACAGCTGCTGACCAGGAGGCTGTGGAGTTGCTCTCTTCTGCAGCTGGCTCTGAGTGTCCTCTGTTCCCCTGGATTTGTGTCATGTGTGTGTGCGCATGCCTGTGTGTGAGTGTAGGGGGTTTCATTAGCTGATTTGAGTTCTCTTGCCTTCCAGTTGTCACTTTCCCAGCTGGTGACTTCCCCGCAGTCCCCGGCTCGGTGCCGCTCAGCCAAAGCCACTCCACGGTCACCAGAGGGCTCCCAGCCCCAGGCAGTAAGTGCCCCCCATGCTGCCTCCTGCCTCACATCCCCCCGACTGCTGGCAGGCCTTGGGATTTTGAGCGGTGCTGGTCCTTGGTGAGGTGACAAGGACCTCAGCAGGCTCTGAGACGTGGGCTGTGGGATGGGTGGGGTGGGCCACTGTGTCCCTCTGTGCTTCCGTGGAGAAGCACGTTCTGTCCTGGAGAATGGGGAAAGATGTGGTTCTCGCCACGGTGGGTGATTGACTCAGGCTTGGTTTCCCTGAGCCAGTGGAGCTCAGCTGCTGGCGGGTCTGTTGGTGAAAGGAGAAGGAAGGTGGCAGAGGGCGGAGGAGGAGGCTGAGCTGGGCCTTCCTGGCCGCTAGGGGAGGGTTCAGGTGGAGCCGAAATAGCCTCTGCTGCCCCTGACTGTGGGGATCCCTGCAGAGCTGGTCCTGCGGACTGCACCTCTGGTCTCACGCTGGTAGCACGGAGGAAAACGGTCCCTTCCGGTCATGCATTAGCAGGCACTCCTGATGTGAGCGTCCGTGCCACCCTGCTCTGAAACACGCCTGCAGCTCCCCATTTGTGAAGCGATTGCTGTCTTTTTATTTTTGCCTGAGACATCATGTGAGAGCTGTCCCTGCTCAGCAGAAGCTGCGAGTGTGATCCAGTGGAGAGGGGGCTTGGAGTCCCGCCGTCCCCTCCACCCAGATAACCTGCCTCAGAGGGAATAACTAGAAGATTCAGGACTGGCAGGGGCCAGAGCAGCATCCAGACGCACGGGCCAGCTCTGAGATTTGATGTTAACATTCCATCTCAGGCATCAGATGTCCCCAGTGGTATTGGCTTGTTCATAAACTTGGTGGTTCCTTTCTTGCTGTTTCTTTCTTTTTTTAAAATATCTTTATTTTATTTTTTGTGGTGCTGAGGATCGAACCCAGTGCCTCACACATGCTAGGTGAGCGCTCTACCACTTGAGCCATAACCCCAGCCCCTCTTGCTGTTTCTTGACTTACAGATAATCATGAGAAATAAAGGAGTCACGGTTAAGATTTTGGAAGCAAAACAAATAATGTGTTAGCATAAGCATATCCCAAGTATTAGATGGAACATACTTATACTAAAGTCATTCATTGTTCACCTGCAGTTACAATATAACTGAGCCTCCTGTGCTTGTGGTGGTGAAGGCTGACAGCCCTACAGAGGCAGTAGTCATCAGCCCCCTTAGAGCTGAGCATCCTTGGTGGCTGCAGGTTGGGGTCCCGTGGCCTCACCTGGAATCCCATTTTGTTTAGCAGGAGTTTCCTTTGGAGGGCGGGGTCTCTCATCTGGAAGCCGACCTTAGTCAGACTCCCTTGGTCCTGGAAACCCCTGTTGCTGAACCTTTGCAGGAGCTGCCCTTCACCCCTCTGCATGCCCCCATTGTCGTGGGACCCCAGCAAAGGAGGTAAGGTGGGCACCAGGAGGGGTGGGGCCAGGCAAGTGCCCTCTGTCACACCTGCCTTTGATTAGCAGCTCTCTGAGAAGGAGAAGAGCATCTCCGCCCCTCTCCCGTGGGCTGGCTGAGGACTGTGTCTGTTTCAGTTCTGGCAGCCAGCTCTCCAGAGCTACCATGGTTCTCCTGCAGTCCTCCGGCTTTCCTGAGATTCTGGATGCCAGCAAGCGGCCTGCCGAAGCTGTCAGTCCCACGGATCCCGTGCACTTCGACCCTCAAAGGGAAGAAGCGGATTGTCTACAGAGCAATGAAATAGTGCTGCAGTTTCTTGCCTTCAGCAGGTAGCGGCTGAGTTTCCAGTCTGCCACGCCCCTGCTTCCTTGTGCTGAAGAGTAGCTGTGACGTGGCTCTGACCTGGCAGATGCTGTGTTCAGGACTTGTTGGACCTAGCAGCACTGTTTTTCAAATTAATTGATTAATTTGTTCTTCGTTAAAAAAAAAATAATTAGCACATACTTGTGTGTGTTATGGGGTGCAGTGTGATGATGGGATATATGTATACTATGTGTAATGATCAAATCAGGTAATTAGCATTCCCGTCTCCTTTTTTTGTGCTGGGAACCTTTGAACTGCCATCTGATTCTACTTTACTTTGGCTAGGACCCACCCAGAACCATTCTGAGTGCCAGGGAGCCCTGCTTTGCCCAGGCTTCTCTCCTTAATTAAAATGTGCATGACGTTTGCCTGATTCCCAGACGTCAGGGTAGCTCCGGGGCAGCACCCTCAGGCCAGGAGACTCACTGTGCCTGACGTGGCTGCGGCCCTCCTGAGGCCACAGTGAAGCTGTTTTAGTGACTGTGTCCCTGGGCAAGCGTACATCCCACCCAGGTGCTCTGCTGTGGCTGCCTGATTAATCAGAGCTGTTGTTGGGTGCAGAGTGGCCCAGGACCACCGAGGAGCTCCGTGGCCAAAGTCCGTGTACTTCACGTTCCAGTTCTACCGCCTCCCACCTGCCACGACGCCACGGCTGCAGCTGGTGGAGCTGGCTGGGATGGGGAAGACGGGCTCCGGCTCCCTGTCTCACGTCCTTGTTCCCATTAGTAAAGACGGCTCCTTTGACACTGGTAAGTGCTTGTGCAGTGCGACTGCTGAGGCCTGCACCGAGTTTCCTGTGTGCATGTCATCATTAAACAGCCCATGCACGGCCAGTGCACCCACACCCATCAACTGCACCCACCCTGGGCCTCCCCCACCCAGTCATTGTAAGTCATTTGTAAATATTTCCTATGTTCCTCCATAAAACAATGGAGTCTTTTGAAAACTTATGCTGTCATAGTAAAAAATAATTCCTTAATATCATGAAATATCTAGCTAATGTTAAGAATTCCTCAATAATTTCATAACTTTTAAAATATTAGTTCAAAACTCCTGTCTATGTGTTGCAACGGGTGCACCTGTGTGCTGCCCTGGGGATTGTGTCTGCGGTGGCTGCCACCATCCCGTCTCTCTCTTTCCTTTCTCTGTGGAAGAGGTGTTCTGCAGAGCATCCATCCCCCAGTCTGGACTTTGTTGAGGCTCTGAAGTTAAGGCTGTCTCTTTGTCCCCTCTTTTCCTGAGTCAGGGATCCATGTGTGATTGGGTGCATGGTTTTGTTTTTGTCAAGGATTCTTTGTGGTGGGTGACTTGGACTCTGTCTCTGCAGCACTGTGACACCCGGCTGCTTCTTCCTCTGGTACAGCAGCAGCCATCACGACTGTCGCATGCTATCAGTCATTGCTGGAGGGTGCACAAGGACACATCCTGCTTTGGAACACCTTTGTGTGCCGGCTGGGTGCTTCCTGTCAGCCTTCGTCACTGTGACACCTACCCAAGAAGAACAGCTGAGAAGCGGGAAGGTTTATTTTGGCTCACAGTTTCAGGGATTTCTGAGCATGGCTGGCTGCTCCCTTGCTTTGGGCCTGAGGTGAGGCAAAAGTTCATGGCAGAAGAGTGTGGCAGGGAAGAGCTGCTCGCCTCTTGGAAGCCAGGAAGCAGGGAGAGAAACAGGAAGGGGCTGGGGACGAGAGGTGCCCTTTAAGAGCATGCCCACCATGATCTTCCTCCAGCTAGGCCCCACAGCCTGCGACTCCCGGGAGTGGGTTCAGTCATGACCATGAATGCACTGTCCACTGATGTGGTCAGATCGTGACCACTCCCTTCTCCAGATCCCCACCCCTGAAGGTTGCTGCACTGGGGACCAAGCCTTCAACACAGGACATTCCGGATCCCAACTGTAGTGCTTCTGTGACTCAGGCTTCCCCCATCGGCTGGTCACCTTGAGGTGTAGTGCGCACAGGAAAGGCAGGATATAATGATGGCATGTTCCCTTGTGTCCTCCAAGGGGGGACACCAGTGGCTTTTTCCCTTCTGGTTTTGTTTTGGGTGAGTGGATTCAAACCACAGGGATGGAACGTGCCTGACGTGTTGTGTATTGATGGTTGGCTGTCCCATCTTTGGTTGGTGACATGGCTCTTAAGGGACCAAGCTGGGCTCTGACCACCACTGCATCTTGCGGTGGGCAGTAGAAGGTGGGAAGTCATGCTCAGAGTCTGGCACCACAGGATGTAGCTTAATGACATGAGCATCGACGGGAGATGAATGCAGGTCCAGGGTCCAGGAGGCTGCTGGGCAGTAACCAGGCAGGCAGTGTACGAGGACAGCGGCTCCATCCCTGAGCTGCTCACACAGCTCCAGGAAAGGCAGATGGATGGCTGTGTGTGGAGGGACCGACAAACCCACAATCGTAGTGATTTGGCCCAGCTCTCAGTAAACTGATGGATCAGTGGAAGCACAGTCACGGGTGTGCTCCAGAATGTGGTTTGGAAGACGATCCAAGAGAGCGTGCGTATCCTGTTCAGGGGGTGGGTACTATCTGAAGCAAACCTTAAAAATTACAGACACTGATATATATGGTTTAGGCCACCAAGCAGGTATCACCCTACCCCAAGAGAATCACTGTCAAATCTCATTTTATAGCATCTTCTGACCATAGTGCCCCAAGGTCAGGACCCCCCTCCCCCCGCAATAGTCTGAACTACTAACTCTAAAGTTTAGAATCTTTCTTTTTAAACACGCTTCTTATGGTGAGTCAACGAAGAAATCAGAGTAGAAGTGACTAAATGAAAAGCTGATATTGTGAGATGCAAGTGGCCCTTGCTGGAAAGGCACAATTCTGGAAGCCTGTGCTGGGGAGAGTAAGAGACAGTGCTAATGTTCAACTCTGGGAGTTTGGGGGAGGAAAACAAAGTCAGTACGAGTAGAAGGAAATAAGTTTGGAAATGAGGTAAATAGAGGAGGTCGGCCAGACGGTTGGCATGGTGCGGGGGGCGGGGGGCGGCGGGGCAGCAGGTGTGCGGGATGGGGGAGACCACGTCACGCTGTTCTCTATATGGTGTTCATAAAGTGGCTGTGGGAACACGAGAGCCCCCTGTCCCTGCTGGGGCCCGTCCCTGAGCTGGACCGACTCTGATGCTGCTGGAGGTTCCCATCTTGCCTGTCGGGGCCTCTGACTCCAGTCTGCTGCTGACCTGAAGATAGGAGGCAGGGGAGGGCCGAGCAACCCAGGCCCCATCCCTCACCAGAGAACCCCCCTCATCCCAGGTGGATGAGCTCTTCCTGTCCTGAACCTGGGCTGGGCTGAGAGAGGGCCCGGGAGACCCCTGCCTGGAGGCATGGGGTCAGGGGAGGGAGGCTCTCTGGTAACACTTCCTCCCACATTTGGTTCTCAGATCACTGTCCTTAACCAATGAGTTTACAGTCATGTCTCTGGTCGGATGTTATCCTGGGGGAGAGACCAGTCACCACCAGGGCGGTTCCAACCCTCCAGGGATCACCTCTCCCCAATCGTCCGCCTTTGCTGGTTGAGCTCAGTGACCTGTGGCGCATGGCGCAGCTTGTGTCCTCAGAAGGCTGGAAACAGCTCAGAACTGTGTGTTGGTTTCAGGGCTCCTCCGCCTGCTGCTGAAGCCTCGTCCCTGGTCCATTCCCCTCCGGATGTGTCCCACCTTTCAATCCTGCAGCTTATCAGAGGCCCTGCAGTGAGGCAAATGGCAGCGTTGAGATCGCCACTAAAAAGACCAGCCACTTAGAGATGCTCCCGATTTGAATGCATTTCCACTCTGAATTTCCCAGATAATAATTAAAGTCCCCAGATTAAATGTCTTTGCAAGTTTATGTCTAAAGAAATTAAAGTCCAAAATCAAATTTTCTTGTCATTATGAACTAAAATTCAAAGTGTAGGGCTGGGGTTGTGACTCAGTGGCAGAGCGCTTGCCTCGCATATGTGAGGCACTGGGTTCGATCCTCAGCACCACATAAAAATAAAATAAACAAAGTAAATTTTTAGTTATACATTGTGCCCATGTATAACTAAAAAAATATTTTATAAAAGTGTAAAATTCTTAAGTTTAAGTCCATAGTTGAATCTCAGCCACAGGTGGCTTCTGCCTGCACAGGTCTGGGGCAGTTATGTGCAGAGGGCCCCTACCCCTAGCTGACTGGTTGGGGTTGGGGCTTTCATGGTCACTCTCAAGCCAGTTCCTGCTGTTGAAATACAACATGGGCACAGAGAAGCTTGCAGGGCTCCAGTCCCACGAGGTAAAACAAAGGGACGAGCTGGTCGTGGTGACACATGCCTGTAATTCCCACTGCCGGGGAGGCTGAGTGAGGAGGATCACAGGTCCAAGGCTATCCTTGGCAACTCAGACCTTGTCTCAAAATGAAATATAAAGGGCTGGGGATGTTGCTGAGTGGTTAAGTACCTCTGGTTCAATCTCCAGTACCAGAAGGGGGGCGGAAAAAAAGAAATGGGAGGGTTTTATTTCCAGAGCAGTCTTGGGTTTAATAGAGGTGAGTAGGCGGTGCAGAGGCCCCTTCACCCCCAGCCCCTGCTTCCTTGCTTTAAGGTCGCAACGTTGGTGTGCCACGCTTGTGGAACTCACGTGGATTAATTATTATTTTTTGAAGCTCATGGTCAATGTTAAGGCACCCTGTGCATCATATGGTCTGAATTTTGGTGAGTGCAGAATGATTGCACTGCCCTCATGTCCCCTGTTTGTGGCTCTCTGTCCCTTCCCACTAGTCTTTGTCCGTCTCTAAGGTTCTGCCCTTTCCAGTATCTCCTGCAGCTGGCTTCGGGCTGGATGGAGCCTTTTCAGGCTGGCCTCTGACTCGGCAGTGGGCACTCCCAGTTTCTCTGCACTCTGTGTGTTGATAGCTTTTTTTCCCTTCTTGTTGGAAGTACTCCATCTTGTGGATACGCCAGTTCTTTTATTCACTCACCTGCTGAAGGGCATCTTGGTTGCCTCCAGGTTTTGGCAATGGTGAACCAAGTTGTTATACTAGGATTGTGAGTGGAGTAAACCTTTAGCTCACTGGGTGAGTGCCAAAGTGTGTGCTGTGGGGCTGTGTATGGTAGCGTGTGTTCATCTGATAAGAAGAGCTTGCCACTTTGCATTCCCACCAGCGACAGTTCCACATCCTGTCTGCATTTGGGTTGGCAGTGTTTGGGGCTGAGCCATTTCAGCAGGTGTGTGGTGTTTCTCGTTTGATTTGCAGTTCCCTAGTGACATGGTGTTGAACGTCTCTCCGTGAGCTTATTTGCCACCTTTATATCTTCTTCCATGAGGCATCTGTTCTGACATCTGAACAGGTGTATCTTTGCTTTGGATGCAGTCTCCTGTTTGATATGTGTCTGGAGATATTCTCCCCTGTCTGTGGCTGGCTCTTTTCAGCTCTTACTGGTGTGCTTTGCAGAGCACAAGTTTTTAATTTGGATGTAGTACAGCCCACCAGTCCTTTCTTTCGTGGATTGTGCTCGGTGTTGTGTAAAATGTCACTTCCAAGCCTGACCGAGGTCACCTGATTTGGTCCCACCTTGTCTCCTAGTTTTGCAGCTCTGTGCTCTACCCTTTCTGGGTTTATCTCTACAGAAGTGTGGTCCTTACAAAGCGATCATGTCAGTGCAGGGTCTGGCTATTATGCAGAAGCCCCTTGTCCATCCCCACACCTGACCCTAAACCTTCCCCAGGAAATGCTCTCCTTACTTCTGTTTCTGTCCAAAGCATTATCCCTTTTGCATGTGGCA